GATCCTACTAGTCAATGCACAATGTAAGTTGAAACTGATTGTATATTTCAAATGAGTAGTGAAGAACAAACCAAGTGATTAAAATTTTAAAATTTTCTTTGCGATTTTATTTCAGTCGAAAAAATGTCTGTGGTCCCCCTCAGGGTTTGAAATGCAGACTATTTGTGCTTCGAAATTTTTCACAGGTTGAATGGGGGCCGCTAAAATTTATATAGATGAGATACCAACAATGAGCCTGACTAACCTATGTAGGTTTCGTTGAAATCGCCGGGTCACACCCAGGGACGTTCCCTCGTGAGAGTTTTTAACTATACGAATTAGCATTTCTCGCTACGGGATAAATATTGTTCTCTGTAGTTACTCGTACTTTCTTTTATGTTTCGAGGGTGTGTGGGTGTAGATAGGTATAGGGTGTTGGTGTGGGTGGGTGTGGTTGTTGCTGTGGACTTTATTAAAGATCACACCCACACTCTAACTTATCTAATTGTATTAACAGACATCGGCACGGTCAGAATATGAAGCAAAGCATTACAGATTGATAGCATCGACAATAGATAAATTTAATTTCAATGTAGCCTAGTATGACCTGTATCGCATCCTGAAAAATCGTAGTGCTGTGGGAAGCTTTTATCAGACAACCATAGTTTTTTCAAATGTAAAAAGGTAAAAGATCACTAGGAACTTTGAATGCCGAACGGGAACGAGGAACGGGAACCCAAAAAAAAGTTGTTCCCATAGGACTCCATCGGGTGCGAGTGTACATTTTCATTCCTTCGCTCGTGTTCCTCCTGAAACCCACATTCTGCATGCGAACCCTCCCATACGAATACTCACACCGAGAAGATAAAATAGAAAAAGAAGAAAAGGAAGAAAAAAAATAATGAAACTGGTGACGAACTCCGTCAATGCAGTGCTTCGCATCGCATTAATAAAAATAGAAAGAAAGAAATAAAGAAAGGTAGTGATGTAATTATATAGAATGTTTTGCACCTTTAAAAAAGGTACACTCGCACACGATAACGAGAATGATATGCTGCACACTGTGCTGGCTTTCGAGAATGATTTGATATTTCTCTCTGTTGAAACTGAAAGTGGCAATAATTAGAAAAATTCATTGAACTGATATGAAGAAGATGAAATTTGCTCAGCTCTAACGGTGCATTTCTAAACGATGCTAAATTAACATCGAATTCGAAGAATAACATTTCAATAATATCTATTGAAAATAAGTATAGAATTGAGATTACTCAGTAATATTTCATATCTTCTGATTATTCTCATTGATCGATATGGGTTTAGAGGTCATCTTTTCAATCACTCTCACATACGATTTTAATGAATCTTTGAGAATAGATTAATTTTGTTTTCGGTTCAATAAAGGATTGTAGAAGAGAATAAGACAAGTATTACACTATTCTAATTTAGTTTTTCTAAGGAAATAATTAAAAATTTTTTTAATGACATTTCTCAACAGTAAGACAATGTCCTCGGATATCAATAAATAAAATAATCGTTTCTTCAATAAAATATAAGTCTTGGAAATAAGAGAAATCTTAATCTATGAAAAACATCAAAAATTACCGCATATCGAGGATATGTATCGGTAATCCTGTTGAGTCTGGTGCAAACATTGCGGACTGAACATAAAATTGTGAAATCGTCAAGACGGTCCAGAATGCGGTACACGAGATCAACAGGTATTGTCAATATTGAATGAGGAACTTGATAAGCCATGGAAATTGAATACTTTCGAATGATGTGCGCTGTCGAAATGAATGATTATTGAAACTTTTTGCCTTTTTGTCAATATCTATATAGAAAGTAAATCACTGACTGTCGTTACAATTTTTTTCAAGTTTTTGTCTACGCAGAGAATAGAAGAATTCTTCCATATACTTTGTGAATTGAGGCAACAAAGAAAACAGAGATTTCATGTAGGAAATTGAGTATGGGTGTGCAGAAGAAGAACATCATGAGAAACACCGATACTAACACCAAGACCATACTCACACCAACTCATATTGCTCATTGTTTATTATTTGTCACAATAAACGTTACTTTCATTAAAACCTTGTGTCATAGGAAACAAGCCGATTTATTTTGCAAGGTCCACTTTAGGTTATCTATTGATTTTTCTTATGAATATTTAATACGAAACCATAATGTTTGATTTGAAATGCAGAAAAAAAAGTAGATGCAATAGATAAAAACAAAGTTTTTTTTAAGAAACTTATAGGCGAGAAGTGAAATTCTTAGAAGAGGAAACAAAAACTTAAGTTTTCAATAGACTTCCAAGATAATTTCAGACAAAAGGATACATTATTAGCATAAGCCTTAAAATTTTACATATTATTGTGATTTTTCAATTCATCGAACTATACTATATAATACTTCAGTCACCACTACTGCTGCCACCATACTCATTAGCGAAATTCAGATAAATAAAGTTCTTACTGTCGGAATTCAGTCTTACCTCTTCTTGACTCTTTTCGCAACTACATTAGGCTTTATGTATTAAATAGACTTGCTTTCTATATACAGAAATATCTGTAGAAAAAAAACCCACTGATAAAGATAACTAAAATTTAACGTCATTTTTCTTTTGCCGACGATAAATTTTATTGTCGTTCTGTCCAAACTTGCCTTTTTAACGAGTGCCAATAAAATGACGAGATAATTTACAGAAGCAGGCGGCTTCTATTTTATCTTCAATGACTTTTCTTCTTCTAGGGTGTGGATGGGTGCAGGTTTGGATGTATGGGTGTGGAGATGAATGTGGGATGTAGGTAGGAATACATTCCTGCCAGAATTCCACCCAGTCACACTCACACCTACACACTCTCGCACCCATCCACAGCCATACCCGATGTTAAAAGTCTACTAATTCACACTTTCGATATAATTTTTTGACCATATAAAGTATCAAATCATAGAATCTGTTAATTCTGTTCGATAAAGATTGAGCTCGCTAGTGTTAGGTTTGTATCAAAATTATTTTCTTTACTAAATTTATAAGACAGTGTGACTCTATACAAAATGCAATTCTCCGTATTAAGATCCCATCTTCAGATTGATAGAAGAATAATTGTCATAACAATAGCACTCTACATATTAATCAGATACCAAATCACAATTATGTTCAAACTTTGATAGAGATGTTGTGAATGATCACAAAGCCAAAATATCCAAACTAACTGTCGAGTTTTTTCAACAAAAATAAACGAAATAATTATCTTCTTAAACATGCTGAATATCAGTTTCGACGTCTCTTACAGTTTCAAAAGTACCTCACAGCAGAATTGTTAAGTAATCATCTAAAGGAAGCGTAACATTTTGGATTGTTAAATGCATAAATAAGAATGGTTTCAAATTTTTCCAAAAACATGCCAAAAGTACATTACTCTAATATGTAAATTACCGCTATTTCTATCCCCAACGTTGTACTAAATGAGATGATCATAAAATAGTTCTCAGTATCTGTGAGGCTATTTTAGAGAAAAGCGCTTTTGTATAACTCATTCGGTTTTATTGAAAAGGTTGAAGTATTCAGTGTTAAGCCACAAAATCTCAAATGAGAGTACTGAATCTGATTCCATCCAATAAACAGATAAATTAAAAATTGTTCAATAAACATGTAGAGTGAAAAGTCAACGAACTATGATATTAGTGATCGTAGTGCGTAACTTAATTATTCATCTTTTAGCATATGATCGTATTCAACACAATATATCTGAATTATGTATGATATTTACACAAAAAAAACATTTGAAAATGATCTAAATTAAAAGATAATTTATTCACACTCTCTCTTAACGATCATCAAGATTATCTAAGACAATTTTAATAATGACCAACAATCAAAGTCGTATTGAATTAAGAACAGTCGATTTTATTATCTTTGTTCGTTCCAGCTTTGGTAGTTCCACATTTGTGGAACTCCTGTGTGGTTGGTCCGCATAGACTGGATTCCTGTTTGATGGTTCCACATGTGTTCAACTCCTGCTTGGTTGTTCCACATTTGTTGAACTCCTATTTGATTGCTCCATATTGGTTGAATATCTCCTCTCTGGTAGTTCCACATATGCTCAACCCCTGCTTGGTTGTTCCATATTGGTTGAACGCCTACTTGTTGGTTCCACATTGGCTGAATCCCTGTTTGGTAGTTCCATATGTGCTCAACCCCTGGTTGGTTGTCCCAAATTTGTTGAACCGCTGTCTGATTGTTCCACATCTGTTGAGCCCCGGTTTGATTATTCCACATTGGAGCAATTCCCCTTCGTTCGTTCCATCTGCCTTCATCTCCTCTACGTCCGCTATATCTTGATTCAATAGATCTTCGTTCATTCCATCTTTGACGTCGTTGTTCAGTAATCGAGAATGTCTTGGTATAACCCTGTTGGTTTCATATATCCAGAGTATGTTTTATGAAAAGAATCAAATCTTCCGATGTTTTGATCGTGTCATTCATCCCTATTGACTCAATCACCGTGCTATATTGATCAATTGATTTAATGGCTTTTAATCGTTTTTGAAATTTTCCTGCAACATCTGCTGTTGGAAACCCATGTAAGCTATCTAGAAGCCTAAAACAAAATGCATCATACAGATAATCAGTAAAAATAGAAGAAAATTAAACATAATACTCAGGTGAAGAAAAAAGAGTAGATTTTGCTAGGGTGTGGGGTATGGGCGTGGGTGTGAGTGAAGATATGATCGACACCCGCACCCAAATCATTCATACAAGTAACTTGAAATCAATGATTCCTGAGCTATGAAAACAATCGGATTTCACTGTAATGTGCTGGAAAATCACCGTATCCGACATGAAAACACCGAAAAATGTTGTAAACGGTACGAAATCATCGGAAAAATCCGGTAGATTTTCAGTCCAGAATACTACTTTTATATTTCATCAATTTTTAGTATTTTCATTCTAGAACCAACATGTACAGTTGAATCTGAGTGGGTAACGATCAACTGGACAGCTCAAAAGCAGAGACTTACTCTTTTGCACCTGGAAAAATAAATGTTTGAGTCATTTCTTGATTAAATACCCATATATGATATGATACTTTTCTTGATTGAAATATCGCCGGTAAATCTTCGACTTTTATATCTAATAAGTTTCGAATAGCAGTATCCCGTTGAATCCAATAGATTTGTCGAGCAAAACATTCTTCATAGACACATGTTTTGACATCATCGAAAGTATATTTTTTCGATAAGGCGATTTTTATAAGAAATTCACCCATATCAGGTACTACCTTTTTATTACGATAAGATAATCCTGTTATGAAATCTTCTATTGTTTTATTAATTTTATATTCCAAAACGAAGAAGAAAAAAAAAGAAATGTAAATGATACTCCAGTGTATATATATCAAGAGATACCTAATTCAGGATAAATATCAACAAAATGCATTAATAAACGTAACAAATGACAATAAGCTTCTATCGCTCGTTTTGATTCAAATAATTCACCATTAAATAATCGAACAGCAGACTTGTTCATTAAATTAGTCAATACATCCAATGCCATATGTGGAACGAAATCATATTTTTCAACACCTTGAGCATTACCATTATAAATAACACTAATACTATTTTGAATAATCATTTGTCCTTGTTGAAAATGCTTAGGATTAATATACAATGGTAACCAATAATTATAATCCGCTCCTGTAACAGAACGAAATTTGAAATTTTCATAAAAATCTAATTTATCTCCACCCGATTTCTGTATTTCTGCAACATATGCATCGTAGGAGATCAATTCCAAAATAATTTCAGGCGATAAACGATTGTAATTATTACGTTTGAATAATATTGGATAGCCCAAGCAAATGTTATCTTCAATAACATTTTGTTTTGTCACACCACAAGTTAATTTTTCGATTAGTTCACGTTCAGATTTCAATCGTTCTTCTTCTGCTTGTTGTTTATTTGATGTTGTTTCGGTATAATCAACTATAACTGGATTTGGTTTGGCATAAGAATGACCACATGTTTCACATGTAAAATTTTTCACCATATTCCAAAGACGATCAATGCTACTTGAAGAAGGTGTAAATCTTAAATCAGGATCTGCAAAAAATGTGACAATTTGAAGAAGAGCAGTTGATAAAGTATAACCAGGACTAGAAGAATACGAAAAAAACACATGAGTAACAAATCCTAGAAGTTGTTTCGTTACCTCCAACCAGTAGCCTGTTTGATAGTACCTCCATCGACTGCACGGAAATGTCCCGCATAGTTCGTCAGTAAATCATTGCACAAAGCATGGCCATTTCTAAAAGTGGAAAGTGAAGTTTGAAAAATATTCATTATCAAATATAAGATCTAACACGATCATACCTGTGATCTTCATGAATATGAGCATGATATCTAGAATCGAATTCTAGTCCAGGTGCAATATTTCCAGCCGGACCTGTCAATGGATAGTCTTCTGGAATATGAAGAACTAAATGTATCATAATTCCATGATAGGGTCCATCATTGATCAATACCTGAATAAAAAAATCAATTATTCTCATATATGAATCAAATATTTATTTCAATACATACGTTACAATGTAAAAGAAAAGGATTCGATTCATCTGGACAACAAACACCAAGTCCAGGTATTGGAACATTATCGAGATCTTTCAAATCTCTGAAAATATTAAACATATGTAAATTCGAATAACAAATGCATTCACTAACCTCGAAAACACTTTAAGTTCAAATACTTTTTTATGAAAAAACAAGAATATTGTGCTTCAACAGGCTATTGAAAATTTTTCATGGTATGTATCAAAAGATACCGAATTAAAAACTCAATAAAATCAGCTATATTTAATTGATACATGATATTTAGTAACTCAAATTATATAAAGCTAGCATGGCTCAAAAGGATCACTTTAATCAATTCAACTACAAGAATGGATTCCTATTCTTTTTCAGAAACAGAAGGCCCTAAATTGAATGTAATATAGGTTTTACAACTCTTTTTCTACAAATTGGTAAAAATATATTCGAAGAAAAAATTCCTTAGGTGAGAAACGAATTGTAGATCTTCTTAGTTTTGTTCATTTTTCAGCAGTTTTTATTGCCATGGCACACTGTTAAAGCAACGTACATATAATGAACGTAATCAGCTATCTCTAATTATATAAAGTTAATCAAAAATTTTATTCCTGTGCAATTGTGATCCGTGGTTCCAACACAGCGATATATATTTTTAAGGAATCTTTCTTTATCGTTGCCCACATATCACGTTTGTACAGGAAGAAAACGTTTCCGTTAGAATCAGTTTATGATGCTGATTCTGAATATCGTATGAATTTTAGTCAACCAATGCGTCATGTCAATGAAAAATGCTGGAAATGTCATTCTCTGTTGAATTGTGCAGAGAAGAAAAAGAGTTTCAAAACATCTCCTAAAATACGACAGGAATCCATTTTTATTTAAAGGATTGCTTCGACTCGCGTTGGCTTTATACAACTTGAGTTACTAAATATTATATATCATGAAAAATTTCAATAATTTGTTGAAGTACGATTGTGCACATCTTTTACAGTTTATTTTTCTTTTTTGTTTTTTTTTTATTTGAAGCCTTTTAGATATTGATGCATTGAATTAGCCGAAATCATGAGAAAATATTTCCAAAATTTCGCATCTTTATTCTTCAAAATTATGAAAAAATGTAGTTCAATACAAAAATAGAATTAATGAATATAGTTTCTTCTGACCATGCATTTGTCATTTGATTTAATAGATTTCAATAAATCTTTGCTATGAGTATCTGTCAATGAAAATGATGTCTATGATGAATGACATCCGATTAGTTTGAGTGCTTTTCAATTCATCTCTACAAATATATGAATCGATTCGATCGCTGCTACCTATACCAACACCCACATTCATCCTCTGCATATAGTAAACAAACAGGGAAAGCACAAAGTAGGAACGAAGAACATAAATTTACAATTTTCCGTAGCCAATAAGCAACAAGAATTATGCTTCTCTAAAAACAGTAATTAAATAAAATTACCATTAGATATGAATAAAAAAAATTTTTATTCACATCTTTGAAAAACATTATACAGTATATTACAAGAAATGCTAGCTAAAAATAAAATAGACAAGATATTTGAAAAAGACGAAAGGACAGAAAAAAATTGAGTAGATCATATATGGGAATGATACCCTATGAGCTCAATGAAATCCTCTTAAAGAAGATCTACATACCGTATAATACGTTTTGTCGCAGCAAGTTTTGTATGTTGTGGTTTGAACGATGGATTCATTTTGCTTCGAGAACAAATCAATTACAATGTTGGCAATAGACAAACTATTTAAACGAAATTAACTGGGAAAAAAGAACAACGTTGGCTATCATTGCATATGTGCATTGAAAGCAAATTACACAACAGAATTATTCATCGAACAATGTGTCATAAGATTATATCTTGTCATTGCGTAATACGAATGCAATCATTGTTATATGCTGTCACCTATTTTCTTATCTTACTTGAAGTTTAAACATAAAATTGGTTGGAAAAAAATCGAAAAAAATTATGAAACTGTGCGTGTGGGTGATATCTTTTCCTTGGGTTCATCAGTATATCATGAAACCTTCCAAATTCTACGAAGCACCAGTGAGCCCTCTTATTGAATTAATACATAATACAGAAATGATGGCACGGTTAGCAAAATACCATAGCAAGAATCCGTCGAATGGAGTTCTTCTTTTTCTTAACGACGCAGAGGTATATGTGCCATCTAATAGCATTATTTTTTCCTTGTTTACTTATCCATACTTGAATGAGAAAATTTCTTAGCAGATCTCTGCTTATCGAGCACGTCGATGGCAAATGTTCTTCTAACCACTCAATAAGTTTATCCTTTTGCGACAATGATGATGACCATTCGTAATCCCATTTGTCTTCTTGTTATTGAAAATCCGACGTTCGAATCTTGGATATTACCATAACATCAACGCAGAGCACTCTGCATCATTCAAATATCAATTATCTGCCATAAAATATTCTACGACTTGTCTGCAAGTAACACAATCACATTTTAATAACTTTCAATCCCAATTTCTCTAAAAATGACTAAACATAGCGCCTCGAAACTTGATACATGGATATGTGTTACAAAGTTATTTAACTACCATAGGTATCATATCAATTGACTTCATGGTCCACGTTTTATATAAGAAAAATACACGCCAGTAACGTACTTACATAGAAGGGCTTCATTTTTTTCGCTCATGTCAGAAATGTTAAATTTCCTGCGAATACTTAGGCTATCAAAACATATAATCGTGAGGGTGGGTGTGGGTGTGGGTGTGTGAAGTGTGGTGGGTGTGGGGTGTAGGGTGTGTGGGTCAGGGATGGGCGAGTCAAGCCTTTTTTCGAGTCGAGTCGAGTCGAGTCCGAGCCATTTCGAAATGGTTTCGAGTCGAGTCAAGCTAATTTTGTTATTTTTTTCGTTTTCTGTGTATTTCGCTAAAGAACGTTAAGAATGAATTTTCCAGGACATGTCTAGTTGGTGGTTTTTATGCGCGAAAAAATAAAATAGTCCTACACAAAATAGAATTGCATAACTACTATAGATTTATCAACACGAATGAATATCAAAATGACCTCTTCTTTTTGATAGAATCCCACACCAAAATAACAAAAACATCATTTTTATGAGTAGAACCTAAACTTGGATCTGTTTATTAGCAAAATTTTACCATTTATATTTAAATTACAGGAAAAAATGTGTTTTGATCGCAAAATTGTCAAACTGCAAAATGATGAACAAAAAAAATCAATGTTTTCATCGTCAAGTTCATCAAGATATAAGTTAATTAAAATGGAACAAGTTGTTCCAATAAATGAAATTCAATTTTTCTAATCTCATTTGATTTTGAGGACGAGGGTGGTTTATAACAATTTTCTATACCAAGAGACCGTGATAAGTTGGAGTCGTAACTACCATAGAAGCTAGTCGATCAATGTATCTATCACACAACACAGAAGAAAAGTTTTTATTTGAACTTATTCATCTTCTGATAGTGTTAAATCAGAGAATAGATCATTTTCTGAACAAAATATCCCAGGTACTCTTCTTCAAACTCTGAAAAAGAATGGACCCTTAAAAATGATTGACTTGAGAAACTTACAGATCCATAATAAATAATGTGGGAGAAACATAAGTTGTCGCTTGCTTAACATCATTTGAAATAACTAGATACATATATGAAAGTGAAAGGAGAAACAGAAGAGAGAACAATCATTTAGAGGCCGCGCTACAGACCAAAGATGCGACTGTAAATACATATTTGCCACCAAGTTTTGCATAAAAAGTGTAGATGGTAGTCAAAATCTGCTCTTGTTGCTGGAGGAAGCTGAAAAATGTTACTATTGGGAGTGAGAGAGGGTTAGAGCATCACATTTTCATGAAGATATATTCATTATGAAGGCACAACTGTTCGATGTTTGAAACTTTGACATGGAGCTTGGTTCCCGTTGCTCCTCTTCCTTCCGCTGGCTGGGTCGCTATCACACGAGAGTTCGACGAAAAGAAAAGAATATAAAAGAAAGTAACAAAAGGGTGCGACGGTCAAAAAAATCGGTTTTAGATTTTGATGAGCAGCTCTTTATTGCTTTCAATTTTTCTTGGAATACAATAATACAGCGAAGGAAAATATGAATTCCTAATAATAGTGTATGATGAAATGTATAACAAGAGGATCGAATTCGGTTCGTCAATATTTTCCTTTTTTAGTGACAACTTGTGGATTGTAAAGCCCAAGAACACTCAATTCATCACTGGAAAATTTCGATCAATGATATGAGAATCTCGATTAGAAATCGTATCGGATATTCAATTGCGCAATTAAATATATGTTCTTCGAAAGTAAAAAATAAAATAATCTCATTCGAACTGAAGTTGACAATCGTCAGCGGTCAATTCACATGTTAGTTGAGCAGATAGTGATAATTGTTGCTGCCCATTTGAGGTTGTAGCTACTAGTTAGAAGAAACAAGTTTGCCCGTGTACTATTGACACTGGTGTCATGATTTTAGTTAATATAGAAACTTTTGTTCGATAATCTATATGTTGATGATGCTGCAGGGTTAAATGTACAGGATGTTCCAAAAGTCGTGTCCACTTAAGAAATGCATATGACTCTATTACTAAACCCGCTTAATCTAATAATTTTTTTTTATTTAGAAGAGGAGAACGTAAGGTTTTCTTTGTCTGAGACAAAGTTCATAAATACTCTATTAAGACTACCACTTCTAACTAAACGTAAAAATCTAGCATTTTTCATATGTCAAAAACATGGTATTTAATATTTTTCCTGTATTTAATTGAACTTCTACCCCTGTTATGGACTTTACACCATTGTCTTCTCGGAGTATTGCTCTATCAGCATTCTTTCGATATGAGTGTGGGTGTGATGTGGGTCTTGTTGAAGCGAAGAATTAGACACACACATCCACACCCTGTATTGTATCATTTACATGTCAGTACATAAGAGTTTATTTTACTTTCTTATCTATATCACATATGGGTGAGAAAGTGGGTGAATGTGAGTGTGTGGATGTAGGCGTGGATATGGGATGTGAATGTGGATGTCGGTGGGGGGTGTGAATTGTAGGTGGAGGTGTCGTTTTTTCCAGCATCCACACCCACACCCTGACGAGTTGTACGATGGTCTCGTGGTAGTAACACAACTCAAGGAGAAACTCCTGTTGACAACATCGCTTGTTATGGATTGGCCATGGATGACCAGAGACATCTCTACATTTTCTGACGTCGGCAAAGGCGAAGTAAGGCAATATCAAATAGGAGACAAGAATGGAACTCTCGTGGCTAGTGGTCGTGGACGAGCTGCTGGTCTCAATCAACTCAACTTTCCGACTTATCTCTTTGTCGATCAACAACAGGCTGTTTACGTGTCAGACAACAACAATCATCGTGTGATAAAATGGAATAAAGGTGCACAAGAAGGAATTGTCGTCGCGGACGATCAAGGTTTAGGGAATGCTCTGACACAATTGTCGCATCCTAACGAACTGTTCGTCAACACGCTGGGCACTCTCTATGTGGCAGACTCGTCGAATCATCGAGTGATACGTTGGGTTACAGAAGCGAAACATGGCACTGTCATTGCGGATGGACATGGCAAAGGAGAAGGAGCAAATCAGTTCAATCTTCTGAGGGGTTTGTTCTACGACCGACATGGACAGCAGTGGCCGGATTCCATGAATTCAGAACTCTTGGGGAACTCTTGGAACCCTGGGAACTCTTGGAACTCATTCACCACTTGGAACTTTGGGAACTCTAGGGAATCCTTGGGAACTCTTGGAACTCTTGGGAACTCTAGGAACTCTTGGAACACTTGGCAACTCTTGGAACACTTGGCAACTCTTGGGAACTCTTGGGAACTATTGAGAACTCTAGGAACTCTGGGAACTCTTGGAACTCTTGGGAACTCTTGGAACTCTAGGAACTCATGGAACTCTTGGAACGCTGGGAACTCTTGGGAACTCTTGGAACCCTGGGAACTCTAGGAACTCTTGGGAACTCTTGGAACCCTGGGAACTCTTGGAACCCTGAGAACTCTTGGAACTCTGGGAACTCTTGGAACTATTGGGAACTCTTGGAACCCTGGGAACTCTTGGAACTCTAGGAACCCTGGGAACTCTTGGAACTCTTGTAACCCTGGGAACTCTTGGAACCCCGAAAACTCTTGGATCTCTTGGAACCCCGAAAACTCTTGGAACTCTAGGAACTCTTGGAACTCTTGGAACTCTAGGAACTCTTGGGGGTGTGGGTGTGGGTGTGCGTAGTTGTTCTTCCATTCATCGCCCACATCCACACCCACCCACACCCACACCCACGCCCGCACCCACACCCACACCCACCCCACCCACACCCACACCCCACACCCACACCCACACCCCACCCACACCCACACCCACACCCTTATCTAAACCACGTTCGAATCTAAGCACATGTCTTTAATCGATAGTGTTGAATGTTTTGCATTTTAATTTTTATCTGAAACTTTTTGAATAAGTGAAGTGAGGGGAAGTTTGAGATACATTTCAAAACGCATAGAAAAAATCTTTCATTTTATCTGTCTAAGAAGAGTATACATATGAGAAAAACTCGTTGAATATCCACAATAATATGCTTCAAATACCACAAAAGACTATTCGAATGGGAATCATGAAACTAGAATAGGACTTGAATTTATAATTCAAACAACTAGTCGATTGTTTTACCAATTAAACTATCCGAGAGTGTGGGTATGTGTATGGAAATCTTTTAAGATAAATGATACATACACACAAACAACTACACACTCACACCCACACCCTCTACTCACACTAACTGAGATAACTTTTTACTGGAGAGACTTTCGGATTCGTTGCGTCAGTCAATAGTTTCTTCAGTATTTGTGATGAATTTTCTTTCTGAATCGTCTTGAGTCATCAAAATTGAAGCTATTTAGTTGAATATTTGTTTCAATCCAACTGATGTCGAACACTAATATTTCTATGTCTAAATTAATTTTCTCAGAGGTCTTGTTTCAATTTTCGACAACTTAGTTCATCTTTTAAATCAATGTGTCCTGCAGGTGTGGGTGTACATAGGTGTCGATGTGAGTGGTGTAGGTGTGGGTGTGTGGGGTGGGAGCTTATTTCTTATCTTTATATCGACCGACATCCACACCCACACTCACACCCCACCCTGATGTTCTAATAATAATAAACAGTTAAGAATCCTAATTGTTTCTTCATTAAAATCCTGTCAGGATCCTAATAAACCGTGGCTACACGCATCTTTCAAGATTCAGTCGTTTCCTCAGGAAAAAATGGCAAATCCTTCGAAGATCGTTATCTGATTTGCCGAAGATCTGCTACCGAAGTATCAAAGATTTTCTCTAGGGAAAAGTAATTATGTATTTCAATAGAGCTTGAAATTTTCTATCACCCACATCTATTTAGCTATTGCCTTAAATTTATTTCTTGGACAATAATTTCAGTAGAATGAACGTACTCTCAATCGACAAGTATCAAAAATCTGCATTTTTTCGTTGCTTTTTTTACTTTTCTGTCTAATTATTATTCTTATGGGAACAAGTTTTTCTAAAAGAAATTACATATTCTGATAGTGCTTGAAGTTCTCTATCATCCTATGTATTAATGCAGTGTCTTGAATTTAAATAACGAAAAAAATGCAGATTTTTCGTACTTGTCGATTCACGATGTGTTCATTGTATTCAAATTTTTTTAAAAATAAACCAATACAAAAAAATGAGTAAATATATAGAATGATAGAGAATTTCAAGCACTATCAGAATATATAATTACTTTTCTTAAAAAATGGTTGTATAGTGATAAAAAATCTAAGAAACTAATTTTGATGAGAGTGACAAAATCAAGTTTATGAGAATCTCGACATGAAGGTACTTTCATTGTCCTCAATTTATTTTGATAATGAATAGGTCGAAACTAAAACCTAATTATAGAGAGTGATAGAAAACTCCACGGGCTTTCAGAATATGTAATTACTTTTAAATAAGTATAGTCTTATAGTAGAAATATATTCGAAATACAGACTCTAACTATTTTTTCCGAAGCAATAGATCTAATCTAGTACAACACTTCATATACAAAGATCGCTATTAAATAAAATAGTAATTTGGTATATATAATCAATAATCTTATTAGGACATAATCAAAAATTATATGATAAGATATAACATAAAGACTATTCAACAGTCATCCTCGAATATCAATACAGTAACTTGCATCTATATATCTAATTAGTCTCGATACAGCACAAAAATTTCGATACATTAATTAGTGTAATGTACTATCCAAGTTTAATGCTGTCATACATTCAAATCGATACATATTGCAATAGTTATTTTAATAATCTTAAATGATCTTTTTGATTATAAATATTGACAAATAAATATCTTAAAATTTCTTTTACCTTTCAACAAACAAAACAGTATTATAAATTATTTCAAGAAAGAGTATTCAATATAACTAATACTAAATGCATTATAAGATCAACTTTTCGATTAAATAATACTGATTAAGCAATATATTTCTATTTTATGATTTTATTATTGTTTGAACAAAAACAAAACAAACATCTATATCTATATATATATATTTATGTATATACAAAATTAAGACAACCAAATTTCAATTGTTCCTTTATGATTTTTCATATCTATCATTTCTTGATGAAAACTATTATTTGTATATATTTGACGACGTTTTTCAAGAATATAATCATATGAAAAAGGATTATAACGTAATGTGTCTCGATCATACTTAATTTTAAGATACGATAAATTTTTCAGCCAACTTAGAAATATTTCAATAATAGATGTACAATCGTCAAATGAGTAGACTTGAAGTTCACTATGAGTAAGTAATGGAAAACGTTGAACAAGTTTTAATGTTAAATTTGAAGGAAAATAAATGCTTTTGTTTATTGATTTAATCGATTTAATTTGTTTAAATATTGGAATAAGATATGTACTATTAATAAATTCTGATGAAACTAATAATTCAGTACGAATTATAAGATGAATTATATTTGAACATCCTCTAAATTTAAAATAATAAATTTTATATACTATATATACAAAGAATATTTACTGTAAAATAAATTGAGCATCTCTCCATCTAGATATATCAAATGTTGATCCAAATTCTATTTGAGATACATTTGATAATTGAACAAAATATGAAAGATAACTAACATTTTGTTTTACAATATTATCAAGTTTTTTATTACACTCATCTAAAATAAAAAGAGAAACAATATTTAATGAAATATAATACTGAAGAACTTATATAACATATTCTTCTTACCAATATTGGGTGCAGTAATCCACATTGATGGATCTATCGTTGATATTTCTACAATGAGATGTTTAATTTGTTGAAAACAAGGAGAAGCCAATGTTATCAATGGTGTTTCCTCTGTAATCAATATTGATACTTTTTCAATATCAGAATAAAAAAGATGATGATTATTTGGTGCTGTTGACCATCTTGTAAACGCACCAATATTAATAACAGGAATTTTCATGAATAAATTTGTTTTATATTTTCGATAATTTAATGTACGTAACATAACAAATACATCTACAAAAGACATATTTCATGATATTAAAAAAAAATAACTTTTTTCTCAACTACGAAATTATAAAAGTATATTTCTTCAAAATATTTATCTATTATCTGAATCAAACATCTCTTATACTATATATTTTTCCTTCAACTAGAAAATATTAACTGTTGTTTGGTATTTTTTTTTTAACTGATTAAATCAGATAACTAATTTACCTCGAGATTGATTATTACATATCCATCGATCAATAATTATATTCCAATTAACATATTTTCTTACAAAATATTCAAATGATTTGTCAATAGTAAATGACTCGATGTTATCATACTTCGTGTAAATTCTTATATCAAATTCAAATTTAGATAAATGTGGAGCATTATATTCTAACATTGTTCGCCACTTATCAGCATAAAGTAAATTACGACTAAATGGGCAATTAGTTTTCTGTATCACGATGTGAAAATAAAAATGCATCAGATTAGGCATACAAATTAAAATAGAACCAATTGAAAGAGATTTCCAAGTAGAGAGAATGTCTAAATTAAAATATTTAATATGTGGTAAAATAACAAGATTATCTTCATTAATAGGATCTCTTGGAAGTAGAAGACTAAAACATAAAAACGAAAATATTTTAGTTTTAATTTTTTTTTTTATTAGGAAAACTTACTCGATATCAATATTTGCAAATTGATTACCGTTTGACACTGTGATACTTAAATATCGAATTGTATGACAAAGACGAACAAATGATAAAATTGAATAAACAGATGTTTTTAACCCAAAACCAGATATACATAATTTAAATGATACCAGATTTGAAGGTATTGAGATATAGTTTAATATTTTCCAATAAGTAGAAATATAATTAAGTTCAATTGAACGAATAGATAATTGTTGCATGAGCATAGTTGGAGTTAAGGTTTGTTCATCAGTTTCATATAAACCATATGATTTTGATGCATGATTAGTAGATGTAACAAGTTTATTTAGAGTCTTAATTCTTTTAATAACATTTTCATGTTGTGTTGAGAAAGTATTTGCAATCAAAGTACATGATTTAAGATTAATAAAATTGTGTCGATAAAATAATAAATTCATAATAGATGAATAAGCACAAATTTTATCATAAATTTGTATCGAAATAACTTGTTGAGCATGAAAAGTAAGATGTGAAGAAATAAAATTAACTTGACGACGAGAATAATTTGATGAAATAACAAGATGAAGTGGAATTAATTGTAATATAGACGACATACGTTTATTTAATAAAGTAAAACCAGTAAAAATTTCAAATGCATCTAAATGATCAAATATTTCGAAGAAAATTTCATTTGGTAAATCTTCGAATTTGGTGTTTTTATCCATTTGTTCAGATACGAAGAATAATGTAAATTGTTTCAATTATCTGTAAAAACAATATGAAATGAATGAATGAATACTTTTTTTTTGGGTATATATAGTATAGTTTCATGAGAAACAGCCTATGAGCAATTTTGCCGAATTATGTCAATCAATAGAATCGGGGTTGGCGGAAAATGTCGAAAAGGAAAATGTCGAAAGGGAAAAATGTCGAAAAAAAATAGAAAGGAAAATGTCGAAGAGGGAAACGTCGAAACAAAAAACACATAGAAAGGAAAACATCGAAAAGCAAAAACGTAGAAAAGGAAAACGTCGAATTTATTTAAAGATGTCATGGTTAAAATTCGATTGTTTGTATTCTCATTGGTTACTCTTTCGCCAGCACATTTTGTTCTCCGTTGAATAAAGAAAAATTCTTAACATTAAAATTACTTATTCAGGTGTAACAAAACAACAGTATCAAAAAAATATTGGATGTGTAGTGAACGAGGATGTGATGAATACATACACACAGGTGTTACTGATGAACTTTTATCTATTAGTGGTGATCATAATCATTCAGCAAATCCAGACCAAATAGAAGTTCTATCCTTTATTGTTTATATTTTAGCTTATAATCTTCGATTTGCAATTCTTAATTAAACTTGATGCTGGTGCAACTGCACCGAAACAATCGACAAAAACAAAAGCTTTTTAAATGAGGTTTGATACTCTGCGTAGCAGATACATCAAAAAGGAAATCAACGCAAATGAACTATTGTCAGGTTTATCATTGCTAATTAGAAAGAAAAAAAAATTTCTTCTTATCTTATCAATATTCTCTTATCTTTTTCATTCTAAATTAATAAAACATAGCATTGGTCATATATCACAAGAAGAGATTAATTATTTCGACGTTTTCCTTTTCAAAATTTCAATTCGATGTTTTCCTTTTTAGCTGTTTACATTTTCGCCCTTCTCCTTTTCCTTTTCTGCATTTTCCTTTTTCCATTTTTTTTCAAAATTTTCTTCTTTCGACGTTTTCCTTTTCGACATTTTCCACCAAGACCATAGAATCTTTATGCATATTATAATTGATTTATAGATTGATAAAATATGACTCATCGTTCATATCTGAAAGTTCGATGATTTAACACTTATGAAATGATCACTTGTTTTCAAATGTGAATCTAATAGAAATTAAAAGTAATCTTAAGATTTTTTTTGAAAACATATTCTTCTAAGTTCTGATCAAACGAATAGTATTATGTGAAGATAATTTGATTTTATTAAAATGTTTTACGACGTTACATTGATTATTATTAAATCTTATATATTAATTTTTTTTGAAAAAATTCAATAACACTAAATGTTTTAAAAGATTTTATTAATTATTGTATTGATAAAAGTGACTTGAATTAAATAAAATAATGTTTAAATCATCTTGATATTAATAGAATAATAGAAATAAGAAGAAAACATGAACTTGTGAAGTGTTAAAAGATTTTACAACGATATTAAAAGATATTATTGAAAAACTTGAAGATAATTTTATTAGAAATACTTAAATCTGTATAGCTCTTTTGATCGATACTAGTTATTGAAAGATGAATTGATTTTCGAGAGATACGGTTCATTTTCGATCTAGATCGACAACTGTATAATTGATATTTAATCTTTCGACAAATCTAACACGAAATTCTATTCGAATTGATAGAGAACGAAAACCGTATAAAATTAAATTTTTTATTTTTAAGTATTGATTATAATACGAAAATAACTTTCATTAATAATCCAGCTCTTGCTTGTATTCAAACAATATTAATTGATGATATATATCCATTTATCGTACGAATGGTTTAGTTTATTAACAATTGGATTTTATAATGAAGAATGTTAACATAATTTTCATACATTTAAAAAGAGAAACATTTTGGTAATATATTACTTCATGTTATGATTATTGATATTCAAATTTCATCTCATAAAATAAGTACTTCAATTAATTTTGTGAAACACCATCTGAAAAGAGTGTTTAAGGGCAGAAATTTGCAGCCCCCCCCCCCCCCCCCCCCCCACCCCCCGACAAAGAACCTCCGGACCCATCATAGACCGTGACAGAGAACCTCCGGACCCATCATAGACCGTGACAGAGAATCTCCAGAGAGCATCACTGACCGTGACAGAGAACCCTCAGAGACCATCACAGAGGGTGCTAGAGAACCTCCAGAGACCATGACAGAGGACCTCCGAAGACCATCACAGGCCGTGACAGAGAAACTATAATTTTGAAGCATCAAATAAACGATAAGCTACAAATCTATCGTACAGAAATGGAAGAAATGAGATCCATTTATTTAGTAACGATAAGTCCATCGTGTTTCACATTTTTAATCCCGTAAGGGATTGCGCTAACAGCTTTTTTTATCAAGACGATCAGTGAAATCTGAATAACGACATATATTTACTGAAGGAATTCTATTTGAATAGGAAATATTATTTTTATTCATATGAATTATGTCATTAAAGAGTCAAAAAGAGAATTTCAATGAATTATTTCTATATGATTGGAAATCATGTTGAACACTTCGATATATGAATCTCAATATGAAATAGATATTTCTTTTCTTTATTGTTGAAATCATGATGAATAATTTGAATGATAATTTTGGTTTTTGTAAAACATTTTATTAGAATGTGATAAATGAATAATGTTGTTAATAATCATTTGAAAGATAATTGATTATGATCAAAATATTGACTCCACACTCTTTTTTGTAATTTAAATTGTAAATTTAAAATATTGCAAAATATTTAATAAAGAAATTGTATTTATCATTGATTCTGATATTATATTGAATTTTTTCTTCAGAAATTGTTTGTTTGAATGATTTTTTAGTATTATTTTCTATTGATCTATTCCAATTATAAAGATTTTTTTTTAAAGTTAATATTATTGATTTTGACGACAAAGTTTGATGAATTGTTAAAAGAAATTTGATTTATTTTTATTTAATTCTGATTTATTTATTAATATTTATAAGTTATCTGATGAAAAATTATTTTGTTTTTCATTGCCAAATGAAACCTAAGCGTTTATTTTTATTAAAAACTATAATAGTTGAAATAAGGGTGTGGGTGTGGGTATGGGTGTGGATGTGGGTGTAGATGAAGAGAAGATCCACACCAACACCCACACTCCACACCCACACCCTAGTTCATTTTGTTCAACTTTTAATTCTCTATCTTTTGATGTATACCATGAAAAATTTCATTAATCTGTTCAAACGCAAATTCTTTTTTTTCCTAAAAAGATATGGTACTGCCAAATTTCAGTATTGGCTAACTTTTCAAAGGAAAGATATTGGAGCCCTAAAATTGTGGGATTGATGGTTTTAGACGTTGATGTGTTGAATGAGCAAAAAACATCAAAAAAAAAATTTTTTTGTCAAGTGCCTCGTATAATGGACTGATACTCGATCAGCTCGTGAAAGCTCTGTTAATCATTTGTTTAAACTTGCTAATCATGTTGTCGTTTGCTGCTTCAATACAGAAACATAATGAACAAATATGATTATTATGTTCACGATTAACTTTCTTCAAAATATTTCGTAAATATAATTTAAGATTTCTATTCATTATACAATTGATTTTGAGATATTATATATAAGAAAAAAAAGCCATAAGAAGATAAATTTCTACAATATCAATCATCTGCTCAAGATAGACTTTTGTAATTTTGTTTGTTGTTGCTTTCGAATAAAAAGAATCACCAACTTCTTCAGTATTTAGATCGTTTGATTGATTTAATGATAAAGGATAAATTTTTAATAAATCAAGTTCAGATAAAAAATTTGTAATTTGAATTAATATATCAATAAATATTTGTTTTTCCAGAATTTCTAAATGATGAATTTTTCCTATAGATAAAATGCGATTGATAACCAGAGTGGCATCGTCCGAATCTTCGTCAGAAAGATGTTAAATTAACATAAGTTGGCTAGATTTAGAAAGTTCAATGGAAGAATAAATTATTGGATGCCGTACATCTCATTCATATCATCGTGCACCGAAAGAAAATATGAATTATATTTAATAGAAGAATGATTTCTTTTCAATGTGGGTGTGGGTGTGGGTGACATTTAGAGAACCACATTTCCTCATCTTTTGAAACACAAAACATATTACTAGGTGTAGGTTTTTTGTATGCTCTTTCCCATGAGACTAAAAAAAAAGTACAGGAAAAATGATGGAGTAAGAGAAAAAGAATACTGATAAAGGTACTTTTTTTACTTACTTTAGCACATATATATCTTTGAAAGTAAATGACTCGATCAAAAAGTGTTTTGGAAACATGAATTTAATTTCGTCACTCCAATTTTAAGAGCTAATTCGAATTATGTAAGAAAAAGTAAGGATCAAATTTTTATCATTTTTTTTTCGCTTTGGCCAATGGTCGCATGCATGTTCTCTTAAATATGTATGCTAAACGATAGGGCTAATCCAAACACGAAACCAAGGAAAGAAGAACATATTCCAGTACTCTATTGACTCTGGAGCAAAAAAACATTCTAATGATATAAAGGCTCTTTCTTGTTTATTTAAATTATAAGGGAAAACACATTAACTACAACACTGCTATTTCTTGTCGTAGTAGTGATGCTGTTTGTTAAGTTTGCTACCGGACTCTCCTGCGTTAAAATGTCCACTCTGTTTTCCTCCATCACCATAATCCTTTGGTTTATCTTCTCGAATATCGATCTTCTGACCCTTGTTATTTGTATATTCCCATTGACGAAGGTCTTCGTTAGTGTCTTTGTCTTTGACTTTGCATTGGCGATCAGGTGATTGACAACGAGGTATATCATTTGTATTTTTTGCCGTGTTGAAAGCTTGCTTGCGAGTAGGACTGTTTGTATTTGTCCGTCCTCGGGAATCCTTCTCATCTGTTGATCGTGAATTGTGTGACATTTCCTGTTGGTGTTCTAGCAGCAGCAATTATTTTTCTGATGGGAACTGAGTTACGT